GGAAGATTTGGTTTCATGATCGCATAGTTATCTTTATAAAATCACCCAACTGTCCTTCACTTCGATTATATAATTATCTAATACTAATTCTGAACCACAAGGGTGGTGCCTGATTGGTTTGAGCTTGACTCCAATAGTCAAAAGTACCAGAAGGTCCCAGGTTCAAATTCAAGGAGGAATAAAATTCCCCTTGTGGCCACGGAGGTTCAAATGCGGTGACTCCGGGCTATCTGCAAAGCAGGTGGTCACCCTGGAATTAGTCGGCTCGCATAGCGGGTTGGATATCCAGGTTAATAAAAAAAAAAAAAACGAATTCTGATTACAAAAGTATCTTGATAATCTGCGATGCAACCTCTTTGAAAATAGCGTTGATAACTACATCTCTTCCATAGTGATTTCTAAGAAATCACTTGATATTATGTGATGCAGAGCTACTAACTCGAGCATATGGTAAATTTCTCTAGAAAATGGCTTCGAGTCATCACTCGACACAAACTCTTCAACGGCATTGTCGATCTCTATGGCGCTGCACCCTGGTGTCTTGCTCATTATCTTACCTCTTATGAATTTCCTCATCCTCGAAACACCATCCCATCTTCCAAGATCTGCGTATATGTTTGAGAGCAACACATAGTTTCCGGTATCTTCTGGTTCGAGTTCTAAAAGATGCTCCATTGCAATGACCGCCATTGCAAGATTGCCCTTAGTTCTACACGAGCTTAACAATGAACCCCAAATCGCGGAATCTGGTTTCATGGGCATAGTTTTTATCAACTCAAGAGCTCTATCAAGACAACCAGTTCTTCCAAGAAGATCAACCAAGCATCCGTAATGCTCAATTCCTGGCTCCAGATTATAATCGTATCTCATGGAATCAAAGTATTTGAGTCCATCTTCTAAGAATCCAGCATGAGCACAAGCTGATAAAAGACCTACAAACGTGATCTCATTCGGTTTGATGGATGTCTTCTGCATATCTTGAAACAATCGTATTGCTTCAGGAGCTTTTCCATGGTTGGCTAGTCCTCCAACCATTGTACTCCAAGAAATCATGTCTCTTTCAAGCATATTGTCGAACACTTGCCATGCTTGGTCGATATTTCCACCCTTAGCATACATTTCGATCAAAGCACTGCATACACTTGTCTTTTCCAAGAACCAATTTTTCTCTGCGTAAAAATGGATCCATTTCCCTAGCTCAAGAGCTCCCAGCTGTGTACAAGCCGGCAACACCGAGAGTAAGCTGATCCAATCGGGTTTAACACCAGCCAGTTGCATCATTCGRAAAATGTGTAACGCATCTGCATGACTCCCGATTAGCGTGTACCCAGAAATCATTGCGGTCCATGAAACGATCGACTTCTCTGGCATCCCTTCAAAGAGCTCTCTTGCCCTTTTCATCTGTCCCAGTTTTATATACCCATAAATGAGACTGTTCCAAGATATCACATCTCTGTCAGTCATTTCATCAAACACCTTATATCCATGAGAAATAGCATCACATTTTATATACATATCCAAAAGTGAATTCTCAATAACGACATTTGATTGAACTCCAGCTTTCAAGGCATGTCCATGAACCTGCTTGGCCACATCAAGACTGGAAATCCCTCCACACGATCTTATAACAAATGGGTATGTGAAATTGTCTGGAAAAATTGGTTCTTTAAGCATTTGCTTGTATATATTTATGGTGAACCGATGCAACTGGCAATGTGTATGAGCCCTGATTATCGCATTATATAAGTAAATATTTGGCTGAGACACCTCTTTAAATAACAATCTTGCATAGTCTACTTCTTCATATTGATCACATATGTTCACCATTTTTGTGACCAAGTAACTGCTCTCCGATAATGAAAATTTCACAATTTGGGCATGAATTTTCTTCAGTTTTCTCATGTGATTGCAATTCTGCAACATGGGCATGAACATGTTCTCCAAGATCTTTGAAGATAGCATATTTGTACTTGCCGCCATCGCGACGATGGCGGCAAGTACAAATATGCTATCTTCAAAGATCTTGGAGAACATGTTCGCGCCCATGTTGCAGAATTGCAATCACATGAAAAAACCGAAGAAAATTCATGCCCAAATTGTGAAATTTTCATTATCGGAGAATGCGCAAAATAGCAACCTACTTTCATAAATTTCCTTATTATAGCATTCTACTTTCAGTTTTTCTTATTACAGCAATGTACTTTCAAAATATTTTTTATTAGGGTATTGTACTTTCAAAAATTTACCCAATATAGCATTGGGTAACCTTTTAAATTAAATTTACCTATTATACCAGGTTTCTTTGCCACCTCATCGTCCACGTAGGTTAGATATGGCCAAATGGGCCCGGCCCGGCCCGTAACCGCCGGAGGACCGGAACCGGGACCGGAGAGGGACCGGAACCGGCCCGGGACCGGTATGGACCGGTTGGGGACCGCCGGTTATGAACCGATTATGGATTTTAACGTTTTTTAGGACCTAGACCGGTTAAGACCGGAACCGGTTATGTAACCGGTTATAGGACCGGCCCGGCCCGGCCCGGTCAACAAAGTCAACGTGTATATATATATATATATA